GTCCTCCATCCATCCATCCATCCATCCATCCATCCATCATCCATCCATCCATCATCCATCCATCCATCCATCCATCCATCATCCATCCATCATCCATCCATCCATCCATCCATCCATCCATCCATCCATCCACCCATCATCCATCCATCCATCCTCCATCCATCCATCCATCCATCCATCCATCCATCCATCATCCATCCATCCATCCATCATCCATCATCCATCCATCATCTATCCATCCATCCATCATCCATCATCCATCCATCCATCCATCATCCATCCATCCATCCATCCATCCATCATCCATCATCCATCCATCATCTATCCATCCATCCATCATCCATCATCCATCCATCATCCATCCATCCATTCATCATCCATCCATCATCCAGCATCCATCCATCATCCATCCATCCATCCACCCATCATCCATCCATCATCCATCATCCATCCATCATCCATCCATCATCCATTCACCCATCATCCATCTATCATCCATCCATCCATCCATCCATCCATCATCCATCCATCATCCATTCACCCATCATCCATCTATCATCCACCCACCCATCCATCCACCCATCATCCATCCCTCCATCCGTCCATCACCCCTGTGGCCACGGTGTACCTTTGGCCCGTTCCTGTCCCCGTGCCCGTTCCCGATTCCGGTTCCCCGCAGGTGCGGATGTACTCGCGCACCGTGGCCGTCATCGGCGGCTTCCTGATCCTGGCCAGCGGCGCCGGCGAGCTCTACCGGCAGCGGCCCCGCAGCCGCTCCCTGCAGGCCACCGGGCAGGTGCTGCTGGGCATCTACCTCATCTGCCAGGTGACCTCGGGGACAGGGGACAGTGGGGATACCTGGGGACGGTGGGGACAGCTGGGGACACCTCTGTGCTGCTGTGCTGCGGGCTGGGGACACGTTTCCCTGTGGGAGGAACCTTGGGACAGTGCTCACAGTGCTCCAGATTGTCCCTGCTGGGAGCCCCAGGGTGGTGGCACCGGTGCCACCGAGCCCACACTGTCACTGAGCCTCAGGAATAGTGTCACCGGTGCCACCAAGGCCACACTGTCACTGAGCCTCAGGGGGTGGCACCAGTGGCACCAAGGCCATACTGTCACTGAGCCTCAGGAATAGTGTCACCAGTGCCACCAAGGCCACACTGTCACTGAGCCTCAGGTGGTGGCACCAGGGTCACCAAGCCCATGCTGTGACCGAGCCTCAGGTGGTGTCACCAGTGCCACCAAGGCCATACTGTCACTGAGCCTCAGGTTCAGGTTGCTGTCACAAGTGCCACTGCCCACGCTGTCACCAAGCCTCAGGGTGGTGGCTCCAGTGCCACTCAGCTTCAGGGTGGTGTCACCAGTGCCACCAAGGCCACGCCATCCCCAGGGCAGAAGCCTTGGCCAGCAGTTGTCCTCGGGGGGGTGGTTCCCAGTGCCACCACCGCCACCACAACCCCGTCCGGTGCCACCCCCCGGGCACGGCCGCGCCGCCGCCGTCCCCAGAGCGTCCCCGCTGTCCCCCCCCCAGGCCTACTCGCTGCAGCACAGCCCCGAGGACCGCCTGGCCTACCTGGAGCGGCTTCTTGGAGGTGAGGTGGCCCTGCAGCTGCTCTTCCTGCTCTACGGGCTGCTGGCGCTGGCCTTCCTGTCGGGCTGCTACGTGCGGGCGGCGGCGCAGGTGCTGGCCGTGCTGCTGCCGCCCGCCATCCTGCTGGTGGACGGCAACCTGGCCTACTGGCACGCCCTGCGCCGCGTCGAGTTCTGGAACCAGATGAAGCTCATCGGCCACAACGTCGGCATCTTCGGCGCCGCCGTCATCCT